TGTCCACGTACTGCGGCTTGACGATCGCCTTCAGGTCGTCCTCCAGAATGCGCGTAAAGTAGTTCTGCAGTTCAGAGCCTCGAAAGTAGACGAGAATCTCCTGCCAGTCAGGCTGATCGGCGCCGAATCGGCCCAAGTTGGGTTTCAGCTTTCCGGCCAGTACTTTGATGGCCGTTGACTTGCCGATACCGTTGGTGCCCACAAGGCCGAGCACCTCACCTGGCCGAGGCGTCGGCAGACGGTGCAGTTTGAACGTATTTTGGCCATAGCGATGAGTGGTTTGCGAGGTTAAATTCGAGGGCAGATTGATGATTGTAATAGCTTCTAGGGGACATTTTTTGACGCAGATACCACAGCCGATGCACAGCTCTTCGCTGATTTTTGAGATTTTGTCATTGACGGTCACCTCAATGCACAGCTTGCCCATTCGCACCACGGGACAGGACTTTTTGCACTCCAGTCGACATCGCTTTGGTTTGCACTTGTCGGAGTTGACGATGGCAATACGCGTTAGACTCTCCTGCGTCTCTTGATCCCGTCTGTTTGGTGGCGCCATGATTTACCGTTTTTTTATTTATGTTCAGATATGAGTGCGGATGATGTTGGACCTAGAACAGGGCAAAACAGAAGAAAAGATGAGTCAATTGGAACAAGCCGTTCATACGCACGCTAAAGCGATGCCACGTGCACAGTGTGACCTTATTGTGTCTTGCAGATTACTGAAAGTTAGCACTGTGAGTCTCAAATAGATGCAAACTAGTAGTAGGCAAGAACACTCACCACTGTTGGAACACTGTTGGAACACACTGAAGCGCACAACTGAGCAGTGGCAATGATTTGAGACGCAACAAACAGACGCGACGGACACAGGTCAAAGTAGTGAAGCAATCGCAGCGAAGGTGAGAAGCGACTGAAGATTGGATGTGGATGTGCCACCAACTTAAGGCTCCTTACCTTGAAGTCAGGCCAAACTACTTAAACGATGGTGGGTAGATCCGGGTACCGGGGACGTTTGGGAGTTTGGGTCCAGAGAACAAGAGTGCACTCGGCTTTACCACCGGTTGGAAAAAACAGATGCCCACACAACAACGCTTGCTTTCCGGGCACGTTGACAAAACGACGCACAGATGTGCGAGGAAAAGCGCCGTCCTTTGAAGCACGTTTNAACTTAAGGCTCCTTACCTTGAAGTCAGGCCAAACTACTTAAACGATGGTGGGTAGATCCGGGTACCGGGGACGTTTGGGAGTTTGGGTCCAGAGAACAAGAGTGCACTCGGCTTTACCACCGGTTGGAAAAAACAGATGCCCGCACAACAACGCTTGCTTTCCGGGCACGTTGACAAAACGACACACAGAGGTGTGAGGAAAAGCGCCGTCCTTTGAAGCACGTTTTTCTGAATACAGAGAGACGGCGTTTTTCCTGCCGCTTCCAGTCAGTGTTGATGTGCGGTGTGATGAACGAAACGATACGCGCTGTTTTCTCACTTTTCTCTGGTACATTTTCTCGAAAAGGCAAAGCACAAAAACTGACACATTCTCAAACAGCTAGCGCACAACTTTTGAGCACTTGTCTTTTTGAGAAGATCTTCACTGTGTGTGCGGTAAATCGCGTTGAAGTATCGATTGTTGATTTGAAGGCGCGCAACTGATTTTGAGCTAAGGGAAATAAAGTTGCAAAACTTGTTGAGACCGTTATCAAGAATAAATATTCTCTGCAATGCATTTTATATGAAACAGAAGTAGTTGACAAAGATCTTAAACACGAGAGCGACTTTTGCTCTTGCTCTTGGATCGCTTTGAGCTTCTGCTGCTGCTGCTGCTTCGGCGGCCCGAGGATGAAGATGACGATGAACCGCTGCTTCTGCGACTGCTATTCTTCATCGTCGAGTAATCATCATCGCCGTAGTTGACCTTTTCGTCCTCCCCCGTCTCCTGACTCATGCTGTAGACGATGTAGACGTCGACGACGACGATCACCACCAGAAGGACAGAGAGGACGACGACGATGAGGATGAAGGTGCCGCCAGTGAGCAGTGCAGAGTCAACAAACTTCAGCTCATTGGGCGCGTGTGGAAAGAAGAGCTGGCCAAGGTTCTGAATGTTGATGAAGCTGGAAGTTCGGTGTTGGCCGCTGGGCACTTCAATCGCCGCCTTCAAGGGCGAGCTCGACTTGCAAAACAGGTCGGCCGAGTCAAAGGTCTGCAAGGAGGTATGACAGAGTAAAATGTGCTCACTTCTAATCACAATTTGTCCCTACCTTTTCCACCTTCAGCGACTCATTACCGCCGAGCTGGTGGATGACATTGTTCTTGGTGAGCACAAATAGGTCGCCATTGAAGTCACTCAACCCGGTCACCGGATGGTCGAACTTCGCCACCACAAAGGAGTCTTGCACCAGGCCGTTTGGGGCAAAGTTGGCGCGAAAGAGGACGTACTTGCCGACGCCCCACTCTGGCAGCTGAGCGACGCCGTCGCCAATGGTGGCCGCCAGGTACAGCGAATCAGTGAACTGGTCGTAGGTGCCGGCGGTGAAGCGCGGATCGGCGCTCCGGGCCACCTGCTCGAAGACGAGGTAGATCGCCGAGTAGAGGCGACTGTTGATCGACGGCAGAATGTCCCGCGCCTTGGTGAACTCCGCCCGGTGGCTGTACGCCTCGAAGGCCTTCCGCTTGCCGTTGTACCAGAGCATGCTCATGTTCTTGTCGCCGTCGATCAGCGCCACCGCGCCGGCAAAGACCTTGGAGTGCTCGCAGAACTGCGCATTGGAGGCGGCCGGGTCGCAGGCGCCGACGGGGTCAAAGTGCACGACTATGGCTACATCATCCAGTGTCTGCGGACCGAGCTTTGTGGCCGCCTTGTTGTTGGCGGCACTGCTGACCACCTTGCTGCGCAGGTCAAAGGTGAACATCAGGCCTGATTTAGTCACCAGGTAGACCTTCTCATTGAGGGAGAAGATCTTTGAGAGGGGGCTCTGGGAGCTGCAGTAGTCGGCGGCGATGTGCTGATTCAGAGCAATCAGCAGCACTACAAAAAGCCACAAAATATGGCTGACAAAGTTCATGATCATAGGTTGTTTTGTTTGTGAATGTACTACGGAAAATTTAGGATTACTAATTGAAAATGAAAACGCTCGATTTTTTCAAGCTTCTCATTTCGAATTTCCCTTTGTTAGACCTTTTGCGTGAATCACCAAAAAGCACTGACTCAAGCTACAAATTCTTTTCTTTTGTAAGCAATGTGTGTGTTTGTTTTGTTTGTCAGATCCGGTTATATAAGGCGGTGTCAGGTGATGAATAAACTGAGAAAAATGTAGTTCAGCAGTCTACAGCAGTGTTTGGCAGTTCATTGATTAGCGATTCAAATTATATAAATGAATGTGTGATAGTAGTAATCAGGTGGTGGAATCAAGAGGAAAGAAAGCAAATAAACAACAAAATCACTTTCCTGCTCTTTGACAATTTTTGTTGTCATCAAGTGACAAGTCACTGAGGGAGCATAAATTAAGGAAAACTCAAAAAGCTTAAGTGTGTGTTTGTGTCTGTTTTACCGGTATCCCAGTATCTCCGAATGTACATTCACTTCAGTCAATCTGCTGGTGTAATTAACACTGCTGCACTTGCTTTTTCCAGGTACCAATTACCTTATTTTATTCAGTGCTCAACAGTTTATGCTTTATTACACGCCCATTTCCACCAGCGTGGAACTGACAAAAACCGATGGCGTCTTTACCACAGACGCAAAAGAGCTTCAGATGTTCTTTTCGCCGATGATTATTCAAATTTCACTCTTCGCAAGATGTGAGTCAGTGCAATTTTCTTTTCTCTTCCATCGAGTCATCAGCCGTCATTGCCCCCCATCCCTCCTCTTTTGTTTTCAGTTGCTCTAATAAAAGAACACCTCTCGTGAGGGTGCTTCGTCAGAACGTTTCTGGCTTTGTTCAGGTTCTAGTTTCAACCTGTTTTCTTTTCTCTGAGTAGTTGTACTGTTTTTGAGAGTGAGAGATGAAAGAGACCAAGAAGGAGAATGACATTTTTACCATTGATAAAGAAGTAAAACTAGTAAGTGCACATCGAAGGAGTGACCTGAACAACAATGACCAGATATCCATCAGCATTGACGATGAGAAGGCAACCACTGCAAAAGAACCAGCAAAGACGACAGCAGATTCACTTGAAATTAAAGAGAAAAAAGATGCTTTTTCCATTCGATCTCTGTTTTGCTGTTGCTGCTCAAAAAAGACAGGCGGTAAAGATGGCGATAAAAAGGTTAGTCCCAAAGCTGAAATATTTAATTTGTCGCTAACTATTGAAAACACCAAAATAGAATGATCTCGATTTGGCCAAAGAAGTGGACATAACTGAGCATCTGCTAAGCAGTGAAGAGCTGGTAGCAAAGTTTCAGACTCATCTTGAGAATGGACTCTCTGCAAGCGAAGCGGAAATTAGACTGAAACGTGATGGACCGAATGCCTTTTCACCTCCCAAAGTGACGCCCGCTTGGGTTTTACTTCTGAAAGAACTTACACTTGGTTTTGCAAGGTAAATGTTACACTTTTTTTTATTTAATAAAAAGTAACTAAAGATTCTCAATTTAGCATCATGTGGTTGGCCACAATACTGAGCATAATTGTCTACATCATCTCGAGGAAGACTGAAGACGTATGTATCCAGTTGCGATTGATTTATTTACTAAACAACTTTATTTTTTTGTAGTACATTTTGGCAATTG